GGGGGGGGGGGAATGTGTGCCAATGGTAAACTCTTTGAACATCGTGCATACCTCAAAAACCCTTTTAGGATTTCATAAAACATCAGTAAATGTTGGCACACAACAACAACAACAAATGTATTTTAAAAGGCAAAAGCAGCATGTGGTAGATACGGTGGCAGACTTCTAACCAAAACACTTGTGTAAATTTGTGGGCACCAGAGATCAGAAAAAAATGCTTGTTAAGAGTACAGCTCTTAGAATACCACTTACAGAGTCAGCTCCAGCAACAGGGATGAAGCAGTTTTTACAGTGATTTCATGGTCAGTGGTTTCAAGAGTTGGATTTCCTACTGTGCTTCCTGGGAGTAGAGCCATCCTGTGTGGCCTTGGGCAAACAGCTCACTCCAGGGACACTCCCAGAAGAAGGGAATGGTAAGCTACTTCTGAATATTTTCTAAATAGAAAATCCTAGAAAAGGTCATTATGAGTTGGAATTGACGTGGCAGCATATTCTTATTAATTATTATTATTATTATTTTTCAAAACCACCAGACACAATCAAAACTATAAAAACACTGACTGGTATTGTATAACAGATAGAAGTTTTAACCAAAAACCTAAGTATCTGTTAAATATTGACGCATTATTATTATTATTATTATTATTATTATTATTATTATTATTATTATTATTATTATTATTATCATCATCATCATCATCATCATCATCATCATCATCATCATCATCATTATTAAATTCAGACAACATTCACAAGATTGCATACCTTTTATTTGTTTGATCAATTAAATTTTATGGAGTGGAATTTTCAAGAAAAGATTGGACAGCCATCTGTCTGGGATGGTATGAGGTCTCCTACCGTGACCAGGGAGTTAGACTAGAAAGACCTCCAAGGACCATTCCAGCCCTATGACAATTCTAAGATTCTATTTAAAAAATCACAGCCCTCAAATTTAGTTTTGCTTTTATACAGATTAGGATCCACATACTGTATTTTAAACCAAGAACTCACAACTTCAAAAAATCATGCTCTTACACTTGATCCCTTTTGTCAGAAAAGAAGTCTGGCTATAACCATAGTAAGATTTTATCGTCCGTGTGCTTTCAACAAATCTTTATTGAAGTATTTTCTCAGTTTGATATTCATTGCTAGCCTATCATTCCAGATTAATTTACCTAGATTAAGAACATGGATAAAGAATGACCATTCTATTCAGTATTCTTTGGCAGATATAGAAACTTTGGTCTTATCCCATTTGGAACCAGTGTTGTTGGATGAACAAAACAAATACTGTAGATAGTTTAAGAATCTTAAAGGAAAACTACTTTATCAAGTCACATAAGGAACACCTTACTTCAATTTAGATATTTATATTTAAATCTTGTAGTTGGAAGAGACCTTAGAAAAATTGTATCTATGTTGAACTAGATTTCCCAGGATCTGGGAGCTATTTCCCAGAAGATACCCTTTCCAAGTACTGAGCTGGACAAATGCCTCTAAAAAGCAGACAACACAGGACATGAAGATATTAGCCCTTGCTAATCGTCCTTGACACCCAACTCCTATAATCTGTGTTTGCTCCTTATACTGGCTACTCAAACATTTTATTTCTCTGGAGACACATGTAGCTAGAAAGTGCTAACTCTGGTTCTGTAAAATGATAAAAAGTGTTTTTTTCTTCACATTTAGTTTTGTTTGCCTGTAAGGAAATGTTGCTTTTAACAGAACTGTACATTCTATGGAAAAATAAAATTTAGAAAATTGTACCATATATTAAAAAGCTTTTCTCCAAAGCAACCATTAGAGAGACAGAATATATAATTATGACTTACCTTTATACAGTAGATTCTATTATGCTTACAGTGTGTTCTTTCTTCTTTTTAAAGAGCTGATTAAAATATGCACCCTTAACCCTGTACAAAACTATTCTCTGCCCAAACAACAGGGTGAATGGTTTGCCCCTTTGTGTTTGGTAGATTGCTGGCTATACAGTACACAGAAGTTGAAGTAACAACTTCTGAACCACCATTAACATTTGTCCCAAGTTAAAGGAGGGTCAGCATTTCAGCTTATGCTATCAAAACTTTCTGTGCGATTGGAAAAAAAAGTTTCAATTTCATTTTCTTTCTGCTTATTATCTTTCCACACTTTTATCATGGAACATTTGATAGTCAAGTTGGTTTTGCTTTGCAGTTTCATTTACTGGTTGAAAACTTGCATTGGTAACAGCTTAGATGAGCTCATTAAATTCTTTTAAAAATACCTCTGGTTTATGAATGTGGGATATTGTGCTTCTTTAGCCATAATTCCAAATGCCAGGAAATGGCCCAGTATTGTTGCACAATATCATGTCTGTGTTGCCAGCAGGAAGAAGGATGCCAAACTTTACATAACAAAGGACAACCTGAATGTCGACAGCACCAGTGGCAACAGTCAAGATGATCTACGCTAGTGGTTCCCAACGCTGTGTAAACCGAGGTGTTCTTGCAACTCCCAGGAAGGCTGACCAGCGCAGCTAATGGTGAAGACTTCTGGGAACACCCGGGTTACCCAAGTTTGGGCTCTAGGAAGAAGGATGCCAAACTTTACATAACAAAGGACAACCTGAATGTCGACAGCACCAGTGGCAACAGTCAAGATGATCTACGCTAGTGGTTCCCAACGCTGTGTAAACCGAGGTGTTCTTGCAACTCCCAGGAAGGCTGACCAGCGCAGCTAATGGTGAAGACTTCTGGGAACACCCGGGTTACCCAAGTTTGGGCTCTACTGCTCTACAGGATACCTTCTAGTGCTCTCTACCATTCAGAGAGTGACACCAAGAAAGGGAAAAATCCCAGAAACAGAATCTTTTTTTTCATCAGCCACTTCTCATCCAAAAGCAAACCAATTGTCAGAGCTGTTTATTTTATTTTATTTTATTTTTTTGAAAAGTGCAAAATGTTTGCTTCTTTAGGCAGGAGAAAAACAGTTTTACTTAAAAAAAGTCAAAACTCAACAGCTCTTTGCGCAAATTTGGTGCTGTTCTGAAACCCAGTTTCAAAGTTATAATGGGGAGGCTACACTGATTTTTTAATTGCCTTGTAGAATGTTTGACTGCTCTGCCGCACAAAATACACTGTGTAGTGATTTATGTGAAGTACAGTGGACCCTTGACTTACAGACGGCTTGACTTACAGACTTTTTGAGTTACAGACTTCTCTGGCTGTTGATGTTGGGAAAGTGTGAAGGCAAGAGGAGAAGGGGACGACCGAGGATGAGATGGTTGGACAGTGTCATCGAAGCAACCAACATGAATTTGACACAACTCCGGGAGGCGGTGGAAGATAGGAGGGCCTGGCGTGCTCTGGTCCATGGGGTCACGAAGAGTCGGACACAACTAAACGACTAAACGAACGAAACGACTTATCTTCCACTATTCTTTTAAAATGCTCAAATGGCTGTTATCACTTAATGCAGAACTGCTCAGGTACATACACATTTAGGGTATAAATAGATATTACCTGAGGCCTTTTTGTTTAATTGATTTGTTAGACCTAAAACCATAATTGTACTAGTGGAATGAAAATCCCTGCTAGTGAGGTTGTGCTGGTTTACACAGTAGTGCACGGGATAACACAAGTAACAATGCAAGCATGTAACCTTTGATGAACAGCTGCTAGAAAGACAACATTTTTGCTTACATGCCGATGTCTTTGAGAACACTTCTTTTTTTTTACCTTAAAGTTTTAATCCTATTACCTGCAAGTAACCCTCAGTGAACTCACAAAGGACTTACTGTTGTAGAACTGCATAGAGTTGGGTTGGAAATATGCCTAGGCAACATCTCATCCCTCCTTCCCCAACCAGATATCCCCACCCATTGTCTCTGGCAAACAATAATATGGGTAGGTGCCACAACACATAATTTCAGAATTGTGTGAAGCCGGAAGTTACAGAAATTAGCATCCACTTGGTAATAGAAGAACAATGAATACTCTGATTACTTCTGCTCATTTGGCACTTATGAATATAAGAAACAGCATGCATGGGGTTGGCTTATAATGTTATCACCTCAGGGAGCAAACAGGTTGGCAAAAAAGAAGTGAGGGGAAT